GACTTCTAATAGCTGTAGACTTTAAATTGTTATAACCATAGTTATACATTCTATTTTGTAGTTTATTCACTTCTAGCTACATATTCTTCATATTTCTTAAGAATTTTTACATCTTATCCTCCTCATCCTCCTGTAGCCCTCTTCTTCTCACCAGACTCTGTTTCAAAAACATGAGAAACTCTTCCTATCAGATAAACTACTGACTTGGTGATTACACTCCCATATATAATCTGAAATTTTTTCCTCCATTCATTCAACAATTACTTATTGAGTCTTACTATGTCAGGTACTGCCCTATACATTAGTAAAGAAGAGATACAAAGAAAACTAAGAAGTACTTAAATTAACAAATATAATTTGATTGGCAAAGTTTACAGAGATTGGTCATGTAGGATATAGGAAAAAGAACACACTCATGAAGTGTGAAAGTATAAATTAGCACAGCCTTTTTTGAAGTGTAGATTGGCAGTAACTATCAAAATTTTACCTGTTCATATGATTTTTATGAGACATTCCATTTCACTAACTCTACCCTACAGATATATTCATTCCGTGCACAAAGATGTATAAGAATGATCACAGAAGCATCTTTTATAATTGAGAAAATTTGGAAAGGATCTGTGCATTTTTGTAGTAAGTTTAAAGTTTTGCTACATATGTTGTAGAATAGTCATCTTTCAAAATGTGGTAAATTATAAGAAATGAAATTTAAAAATCTGATTATGCAAAAAGCAGTTGTAAAAAAATATGTGTGATAAAAGACACATGCAGGTACAGCTCTGCATATAAATGCACACCAGAAAGTGATACAGTGAAACTGCTGTCAAGAATCTCTATGTAAGGCAGAAAAAGAGGGGTGGGGAGAGAGATTGAGGATTTCTCTGTATATTTTTGATGCTGGATTGGAGAGATTCAGAGTATGTTGAATTATTTTAAAGTCCCCAGCAAGGATAGCTTCTTTCATCTAGGTATCCTTGTTCAGCTCGGTTCTGAAACAGTTAATACACAGGTCATTGTCACTAATTTCAGTAACTTTGAATTTTTCCATTTACACAGCATTTCTCCTTTTGAATGGCTTTCACAGTGATACTCTTTGCTTTGTAGCAATCTACTTAACATTCTACACAGCTCTAAATTTCAAATCCTCAAAAAAGTAAGGATTTTATTTAAATTCTGGTCAAGACTATAGTTTATGTCTTTGTCAGCAGTTTGTGTTAAAATACTCATTGGGTCCATTGTGAAACTCAAATGTGTAACACTTGGGCTCACCAAAATCTGAGAAAGTCAACATCTTTCAAATGTTGGACCAAGTTCATTCTCCTTAGAAACAGGCGCGGAAGAACATTCTTTCTGTCAAATCTAGTAATTCTTTCCCTGGCATTTTCTTTAGGTTCCTTAACAGAAATTCCCTTAAACTCTTTCTTCAACTTTTGCCTCAATGATATCTTTGGTATGTTCTTTCTCTGCTTTTTCTTTGTGAAGAGATGAGCAGAATGATGCAGGGAAGCTGGAGAAGGCCCAGCAGATGTGGCAGAACCTGAGGCCAGGAGAAGTACACGCAGGTTGTCACAGGCTGCAGTGTGGGTGGGGGCAATGTCTTCTCAGTTCCCTTCCGTCTGTCTGCCTGGCTCTTGTGAGGTAGAAAGGCAACATTTTCATTTTCTTAAAACTGGATTGCTGAAGTGCAACTCACACATGCATATAAAAACCACACCCAGTTACATGAACAATTCCATGAATTTTAGAGTTGGCCAACCATCACCAAAAGAGTTTGAATTTCTATGACTGCATAAAGTCCCAGCAACACCCTTTCCACTCTATTTTCCCTCCCACTTTTAGCTGCTGGGAAATCTCCAACTTGGTTTCTGCCTCACACTACCTTTTTGAGCTTTATGGTTTAAATATAAATGTCCCCTCCCATTCTCATGTGTGTGTGTGTGTGTGTGTGTGTGTGTGTGTGTGTGTAAAGCAACTGAATCATGGGGTACTATACTCCTCAGTGGAGTCATTTATTGAGAGGTACAGTAGACGGATGTGCTGTTACGAGGTGGGGCCTGGCTGGAGGTGGAAGATGAGGGGCCTGACCTGATTGTATTGTCCTCACCTCTTCCATTTGGGTGCTTCTCTTTCTGGCTGCCATAAATTGAGCTCTTCTTCCTCTGCCATAGGCCTCTGCCATCCTGTTTCTGCCTTGGAGCCAGCTGACCTCAACCATGGACTAAACTGAGTTACATAAACTTGTCCTCCTTTAAATTGTGGGTGTCAGTATTGTGCCCAGTAATTAGAAAGTGATTAAGAGAGAAAAAAAACTTACAGTATATGTTTGTACGTGTGTGGTGCCTGTAAAATATTAGCACAACACTTGGGATTTACAAACTGGGCATGGTGGCATTCAACTATAATCCTAGCGCTCAGGAGTATGGCCTGGATTTCAAGACCAGCCTGAACTACACAGTGAAACCCCGTCTAGGAAGAACAACAAAAATACATAGCGATTCATCCAGGTTATTACATTAGCAGAGATTTTGGTAACTGTATCTTACTGTATGAATATATCACATTCTTTTTACTCATTGATAGTTATTTGAATTGCTCTAGTTTTTTCCCACCATTGTGAGTCATGCTAAGGACATTTATGTGTCTTCAATGTAGACATGTTCTCTTTCCCTGGAGTACAAGGAGACTTGCTTCGTCTGCTGTTTTTAAGCTTAAAAAACCCACCAAACTTTGAATTGCATTTAAAAGGGGATTTTGATCAAGAATTACAAGGGCAATAAGCTTTCTAAAAGATAGGCATGGGGTAGAGTACTGTGGTTTTCTTGAGTGTACTGGCTGCCGGCAATGCGCCAACATGAGGAAAAGGTAACTCATCACTTTCTGCTTTCATCCTTTACAGCAATATGGATCGTGGAGTTTGCCGCAGGGAGCAGAACCAAGGAAACTTCTAAACAAGGAACAGTTCCTATTCTGAGAACCGTGGGACCTGGCAACACTAGCCTGGGAAGAATTACGAATTTGGAAGACAGCTGATTTCCTGTGCATTTCACATTCTTCTCATGGTTGTTTTCCTTAAGGCTCGCAGGGAACACGTTTCCTTGTGATCAATGCTCTTTCAGTGTTTGCCCTAAACAGATGTCACATTAATGCAGAAAATAACTTACCTGACCTTTCCTACTAGAACCATTTGCTATTACACTATCTAGTAGGGAAAGTCAGATTATTCTAGAGTTTACAAAGATTAGTAAGATGATACAATTTTACCTGACAGAGTTAAAATAGGGCCAGCAAATGATGTGCTGAGTCATACCTGGCCATGCCCACTTGTTTACTATCTGTGGCTGTGTTTCCATTTTAACAGCAGAGATGAGTTGTTCCTACCCAGATGGAGTGCTTCCCAAAGCTGAAAATACTTACTATGTTGGCCCTACTAAAACCTGAAATAGGAGAAACGAGTATAATAAAAATACCCAACTTTACTAAACACTAGTTTAAAAGCTATTAAATAATTCCAGGAGTTCAAAAGATAAAAGATCATTTTTCAACAGGGCCTGTTAGGAAAAAAAAAAAAAAACAACAAAATTTCTGGAGGATGTGCCAACAGTAAATAGGAGCAGAAATGAGTACGTGGACACGCTGAAAACTGGGCCACAAAAAATGACAGAAATAAAGGAAATAAAAAGCAAGGTGGCAGATAGACCTTGCTGATTAGTTTAGGTACATTAAGATGGTACATTAAGATGGTTAACAAAGGTCTCTGCATTTTCACCATGTTTGTAACCTGCATGTGTATTTTATACAAATCATACACCTATGCCTCTAGGATAGCTTGTAATTATAAGCTAGTGACCTATTTCAATAGCCAGGGTCAGGGAAGAATTTTGTGGCAAACGAACATTGTAAGTAACGGAACTCTCAGCAACTGCTACAATTTAACCTCCGTTTCTCCTGCCATGTGGAATTTGGTATGTATTCAGCACTATAAGAATATTACGTTTTCCTAAGACAAAGTCATATGATTATGCAACAAATTAATCTATAAAAATTATTGTATTGCTCTTGTTATTTGTGTAATAGTCCTTTTCTCCTAAGTACCATGAGGTGACAAAGCCAGACTGATTAGTAGGGTTCTAGTCTTAAAAGACAAAAATGATTTGCTTATGACAAGATGTATTACATTAACAGGTCTAGGTGAGCTACTCCAAAAAGCTGAAAACTCAGTTTGCATTGAAAAGAATTTATTGAAGAAAGATAATTCATTTTTTCTTACATGAATATGTAAAAATATCTTATGCTCATTAATAAAATCTGGCCATAGTACCTTTTGGCCAGATTACATTTTCATATTCTACTTTACACAGTTAACTGAAGAGAGCTGTGAATTGTTTAAAAAAACACACACAGTATTAATAAAAGAAAATGACTGTCTTTCTGAAATACAAATGATTTTTACCTCCACGTCCCTGCCTGGCCTTCTCTCCCCACTTATGCGTGTGGACAGCCGCATGGCTCCCTCTGAACGGCAACTGCTCCTCAGTGATCCCTGCACAGACTTCAGTGGCCCCCTACAAAGCAGCCCGGCATGGCCTATGGCAGTGGGTCCACAGGGCCAGCGCCAGCGCCAGGGCACCAAAATGCAGGTTCACACGATGGCACCCCCACCACTGCAACTCTTAGACAATCCTTCAATGGTAAAAGAATGAGATATAATATGTAAGTTTAAAATAAAGCCTTAAATATGTAAATTAGCCAAAACTAATGAATAAAAGTGGGGGGAGTAAGAGAGGGAAAGAGAAAATTAAAACTAACTTCTGAGGTGAGAGATTAATCCAAACTCATGTAATGGATGTCTTGATATAAAGACATGTGGGGAGGGGGCTGGGGATCTAGCTCAGCGGCACAGCGCCTGCCTGGCAAGTGCGAGGTCATAAGTTCGATTCCTGGTACCGGAAAGAAAACAAAAAACAAAAAAAGAAGAAAAAAAGACGTGGGAAAAAATGACATTTTTAAGCTCAGGAATAAAATGTTTTACTATTTTAACACAAAATTCTTCCACAATTCTCATAATATGTACATAATCCTGGAATAAACTTCTTACTTCTTTTATTAACAATGTATACATTAAAACACAAATATATACAAATTTTAAAGCAAGTCCTTTAGGACCATATTCAAGCAACGACCTCTGAGGAAATGCAATTCAGGTACCATGTCCCATCTTGGAAGTTTTCTCTTCTTTCTTTGTTACACTGAAGTCTTCAGTAGACACTGGTTGCTTCTAATGTTATCTTACTGATCCAAACAGCTTGAGAGGCCAAACCCAGGTTCATTTCCTCCAATACTACAAAAATTAAAAACAAACAAAAGAAAAATAGTTCATATTACTGTTACTGAAAAAGACGAACAGTAGTCTATAGTTTCTAAAAGACTTCTTCTGAAATGAAAAGTGAATTGGGATTAACCATAATGTACAGGATTCCCAAGGACTGGCTTAAAAATCAGTTTATATAAAAAATCATTGAGGGAAGAGCTACTTGTTGATTACGAGCTCAAAATAACACAAATGTGGAAGAAAAAGAAAGAAGGAAAAAAAAAATAAAGAAAGAAGTACAGAAAGAAAGAAAGAAGAGAAAAGAAAAAAGAAAAGAAAAGAAAAAAGAAAAGGACAGACCAACATCCGTGTTAGGAAGGCACAATTTCTACACACGTCTGTGGTAGGTAGGTGACTAACACTGTGAGCAGTGCTTAGTTCCTGGTGCCAGTTTCAGAGAGGCTCTGAAAACCTGCAGCTGATTCCAGAGTGTGACTACTTAATTCCATAAATGGTCTAAAGACGAAAACAGAGTAGATAGCATTGAAAGCATTAAAGAAGTCCAGCGAACAGGTATCTTGGGGCCAACACAGTGACACTGTCCAATATTAGGGTACCAAACAGAAGCAATGAAACCAACATTTCTTGGCCTGGGTGAATAAACATGGAGTCATCCACACTGCGTGTGCCCTTCTGTTGTTTCTATGGGTTTCACTTCATTATTTCTGTCAGATACCAAGGGAAGGGAAAAGCCTTGCTGACAAATGTCTGTGTATGTGTGTTCATGTAAAAACTGCCAAGATGTTGACAATGTATAACATTTTAATGTGATACAATGTAAAGTGGCAACTCCACAAAGAATATGGCAAGATTTGTTTCTAATGCTCATACCAACTTGCTATTTCGAAGCAATTTAAGTATTTTCATTAAAGGCAGTATCAGAGACAATAAAGCTCTTAAATAAATGATCTGTTGGGTGCAGTTAGTACATGTCTGTTGCCCTAGCAGTCTGGGAAGCTGAGGCAGAAAAATCACAAGTCTGAGTCCATCCTGCACAACCAAAGTGATTTAGGGAGAATACACCTCAAAACAAAAACAATCAAAAACAAACAAGTAGGATGTAGCTTAGTGCAAAAGGCCTGAGTTCCATCGCCAGTACCAGAGGAGGTGGGGATGGCGATCCTTGGCACTCATCTGGAACCCCATATGTTCACCTGGTGCCTACTATACGCCAGGAATTTGTTCAGTTTCCGTGGCAGGTCTCAAAGCTGCTGCAGGTGAAACTCGGCAGACCAATCAGTATTCACCGAGCACTCGAAGGTTAGGCGAGTGGGTGGGCAACTCCTTCCAAGCAGAGAGCAAAGGTGTGCTGGGGCAGGGGATGTGACGGTATCAGGTATGAGGACCTGCTGTCAGGAGATGATAGATCACAATAGCTACGGAGAAGGCTGTTTCTGAAAGCTGCTAGGAGAAAAGATAAAAATGCAGGCAAAAGTCACACTGTGAAGGATCCAGATTGGCGTGCTATTATTCTAAATATCCTGGAAGCACTTTAGAAGTAAAAACTGCATAGGTGCGTATGTATGTTTGTGTGTGGGAGAAAAACGCAGCTACTGAACAGACGGCTTCTCATGCATTTCTTCAATGCCTCAAAACATCTATGGAAAAAATTAATAATACCATGGAGCAGAGTCAGTCCCACAACATTCAACTTCCTATACGCTTGAAGTGTTTTTATACGAAGGTTTAAACTAATACACAGGGGGCAAAAGAATGATTAGTATAAAACCGAGCCCACTAAAAGCAGCCAATGAAGCAAACAGGGGCAAAGCTTACCACAGAATACATTCAAAGGGTTAGAAAACCTTTCTTCGAGAAGATAAAAGCAAAGGCACACGAATGAAAAATGGTAAGGCATTTTAACTGAAAATAAGCATTCTGCTGACTGCTGCACAGTTTCAACGAGGAGCTGGGCAGCAGTGCTGGCTGCAGCGCAGCAAGATAACCGACGTGGGGCGATGAAACTTAAGACTGGTTACGGCCAATGGGCAGGATGAATGCCCTCTCCTATGCACTGTATTTACTTCAGATTAACTGCTCCCACTCACTTCTTTATATGTCATATTTTTGGGGGCTGTTTGAGCAGCCTTTTTTTCTTTTGAAGATGAGGTGGAAGATTAAGGAAAGAAAACATAAAAAGATCATTTAAGTTTATAATTTTTGAAAAGCACTACTTATAATAAAATCTGTTATGTCTAATGAATTAAAGTTTAGTTACAAAACGAAAAGGAAGACTAGCAGTGACTAGTATCCACCTCCACAAGCCTAGGTTTAGGTTTGAATCTGGGCTCTGCCACACACTACCTCAGGTTTCTTACCTGTGAAACAGGCCTTGTGTCAGCCTACTTCACAAGTACGTGCATGAGATAAGGTGATGCAGAAAACGTACTTGACGTAACTCCTGGTACATAGAAATGTCCAACAGGCTGTGGTCAGTTTTGCTATTTCTTGGTTGTTATTATTGTTGCTACTGTTATTCTTCCCAAAATAATCCAAATAAATGAGAAATAATGATATAAAATAGTTTTGAATGATATAATGATGATGCATTATCTGTTTAAACCACTAGTAGGGAAATCATCTGACTCTTCAGAAAATTACTATATTTAAAAAACTGGTTTTAGGGAAGAATTTTTATACGGCTACAGAACTCAATGATCTTGTTTTGTTCAATGAACTTATTTTATACTCCTGTTCTTCATTCCTAATGGTTAAATGAGGCTTGGATAATGGAAACCCAGAAATGACAGTCTCTCCTCCTCTTTGTAGGTCATTCCGCGTGCAGCAGTTAGGGTGGAACATGATTTTCCAAGCAGCTATGAGTTGTTATAGAAACAGGCACGTATTCAAAGAGACAAGATAAGGAGGACGAGAGTCTGCATATTAGGCCAGGAGTAACAACTTCGGCCTTGCACAGGCTGCTTAACAACAGTCAAGGCTATATGGCTTTTGACCTCGTGTGAAATACAAGTGAGGTACTTAGTGGAGCTGGGTTTTCATGGTCAATTTACAGACACAGAGAAGTCTCAAAAAACATAAACAGAGAACATGAAACATACGTGTGTCACCAAAAAGGGGGAAAAATAGCTAATATTGCAAAAACAAAACACAGCAAGAAACTTTCAACATGAATATTAGCAATGCTTTAAATCTGTAATGGTTTTGTTTTGCATTTACACACTCAGGTATCTGCATCACAGCTGAAGAGTAAATACCACTTAATATTTAAAGGAGGAAATAATAAGTTAATGAAATGGGTTTTACAGACATTTTTATTATTAAGGCTAAGTATGTGTTTGTTAAAAAGAGGGCTTATGTTTTAAGCAGAAATTGACAGTATATTTTTTACTTACCTGCTTGCTTACCATCAGGAACTAAAATAATATTACATATTGAGACACGGGACTTTAAAATTTTTGAAGAAAGAAAAATCTTTGTGTATGATAATTTTCCTTTTCTACAGTGGGTATTAACTGATATACAGCCCCTACAAAAAGCTAGCTTCATTAATGTATCATGCAGCACCAAACATCAAATGAGGTTCACAAATAAAAAGATATGGTGTATGTAAGAGTAAAAAAGATAGGGTCAGTGTTACTGTTTGAGTCTAGATGTCCCACCAAAGCCTGAAGCAGTCCTGGGATGGGCTTCTAGAGTTTGTCACTGATTCATGGTCCAAAGCTGGGATTATGGGTGTGAGTGCTACATCTGCTCTAGGGCGGGTAGCCTGCATATGATATGAGAGAGGGAAAGAGGTTTGCTGGCTGCTACTCTTCCCATTTTGCTCTTGTTGCCTTTGCTATTTTCTGCCGCCATGAGCTGTAGCCCTCTGCCATGTGCCACTCTGCCTTAGAGCCAGCCGAGTATGGACTGAAACTTCCACCAACTGTGAACTAAATAAACCTTTCCTTCCTTAATTCTGGGCACCAGATATTTTGTCTCAGCAATGAGAAAAAAGTGAGACAGTCAGGAAGTATAACTAATATGTACTATTAATTACATTTGCCATTATTGAAAACACTTAAAAACAAAATGAAATTCCTGACCCATGAAATAGAAACTCAAAAATCTGAAACACAATGCAAGAGTTATTATCAGTACAAGTACTAATTTTGAAAGGTCAGCCTTCTTCTGAAGGTGCACATAAACCTAACACAAATGCAGACACATTTGTATACATTGTTCTCACACTGATCAGAGAACACAGGCTCTTCAGGGAGCAACTCAGGCAGAATAAAACACATTATTTTTCTCTTTTTCTTTCTCTCATTATTTTTGTTTTATTTTGGTTTGACCCCTCCACCCCCGATATACAGCCTAATTCCCTTAAGCTAAGGCTATGTGGTCTTTAAGAATATGTCACTACATGTTCACACGCCCCTCCGCCTGGCCCTATACCTTTCTCCTGCAACATCAAAAGTCCTAATGAAGGATTCTTATAAACGGTCAGCAATGACATGTCTCTAGTATCCTGAACTGGACATTAGGTAAGCTTTGTGAGTTCAGTGTGCTCTTACTATGTTACTATCACTCTCCACAAAAATTTATCTCTGACCTAATCTACAGAGATTCAATTAATGAGATTTAATATGTAGTACAATGAATGAAAACCACACCTCACTCTCCACACTCATGATCAGTCAGTGAGAAGAGACACAGACAGGAAGTAACAGAGGAGAAATGCATTGCAGTATGTTTTACAGTTGTAGGAATACAAACTATGAGACCTTTACGCCTCTTAAGCAGAAAAGTCCTTTAAATATCATTTCTGCAGAGAAGAGAATTCTCATAATATAATTTCAAAGACAATAGCCCAAATAAGAGTGTTTTTTTTGAAAATTTATACTACTAATAAGCACATGTTGCTAGGCAACTAATATTGCAGTGTTTAATCTCCACCCTTCCTAAGAAACTGCATGATGGAAGAAACAGCCTTTTCAGCATTTCAGATAATAGCTGCATCTGACAATTCTCTTTCTTCTCTTACAATATAATTTCTTTTATGTTGAATTATACATAACTTTTGTTAACATGCATCAGTCTACCCCCATTTTTAGTAATTTGGATCAATAATTCATAATGATTAATTAGAATGTACTAAAATACATACCAGTTAGTCAATTAGAAATACTGCATCATTATAATAAACAGTATGACTGACAAAAATCAGTTGTTGATTAACAGAATTTCAGTGTGTGTGTGTTTTATTAGCTTATTTTTTTTTTTTTTTTTGGAGACAGGGTTTTGCTACGTAGCTCAGACTGGACTTAAACTCACTGTGTATTCCAGGCTTGCCTCAAACTCATGGCAATCTTCCTGCCTCAGCCTCTCGAGTGCTGGTACTAAAAGGCATGTTCCACCATGCCTGGCTAGCACTAATTCTTAGGGGGCAAAAAGTTATATATATATATATTGGTATAAAGTATCGAGGTAATAGGAAACATGGTGGTAGACCTTTTGCAAATGGGAAGAGAACCAAAGAGATAGAGGGAGGGGGACAAATGGGTAGGGAAGGAGGATGTAAAAGAATTAAGCTGTGTTATGTATTTCACTTCAAAGATGGAGAAACTGAGGCCCACAGATACTGGCAAACCAAGGTCCCTCTTTATTACTATTCTCCCCAAATAATGACGTGGCCCCCTTTTAAATCAGGCTCTTTCTATCCTCTTTTTTCCCCACAGTGCTGGGGACTGAACCCAGCTCCTCTGCACCAAGCTACATCCCCAGCCATTTTACTTTCTATTTTGAGACAGGATCTAAATTGCTACACTGCCCAAGCTCGGCTCAAATTTGCAGATTCTCCTGTCTCAGCTTCCCAGAGTGCTAGGATTATAGGCAGACACCACTAAGCCCAGCTATCCTCCATCTTTAATACAGAGAATTAACAAAATTATTTCTTGTATACTGAGACCTGCTAACCATATAAGTGTTTATGCAAATTAACAATAGATTTTCAAACCTAGACCATTAAAATAAAGTATGCCACTAGCTCATTTAACAGACATTGAAGCTTCAAATTTTAAGCTGGAGAATACTAAATGAATGGTAGTTAAATCTTCAAAGAGCCACACTTAATTCCTTTCCTCTGCATACACAATGCTCTCCTCCCATCAGGAGGTAGAATCTGTTTCTTCTCCCCGAGAATGTGGAGTGTCATGACTTACATTAACAGGCCCGCCACTTCTATGCTCACACACTCTTGGGAAAGTCAGTCACCATGCATCAACACAGACGAGACCACTGAAAAGCAACAGCAGCAGAGGAGACCATCCATGGAAGAGCACCATGCTGCGAGACGCCTGCTGGACCTGCCAGAAAAAGCTACCCACCAACTGAGATCACTAGAAACAACAAGAAAAAGCACTGCAGAGCTGGGCTTCTGTAGTATTCCTGATTGAAGAATCTTAAGAAATAATAATGCATTATTGTTTTTTAAGCCCATGAACTTGAGCTGGTTACTCAGCCTCTGATAACTGAAATGAGGCATCAGGCAACAGCACTAATTTCATGTGTGAAGTTTCAGCTCTTTATTTATTGTAACTGACCAGGAGATGAAGGGCAAAAACTAGGATCTATAAGTATGGAATAAGGAAAATCAAAAGGAAGAAAAATGTGCATTACTGTAGATAGGGACAGGGCAAGATAAAGTAGAAGTAACTAACTGTGAAGGGCAAATCCCCGGATACAGAAATACAGAGAGTAAGTTTCTGACCGAAAGCACATTGTAACTATTTGAGCTTAAAAGAAAAAGACAGTGTACAAACTGAGAGGTGGAAATTAACTAGATCATGTGAGATGCCGGCAGAAAAATTTCACTGAATAGAACAGTGGTGAGCAAGATAATGACGATTACGAGAATCGAAGAGAAGAAACCCTGTCCCTTCCGTCCATCCCGCCCTCTCGCTTTACCCTCCCTCTCTCTCTCTTTCATGGTACTCGGTATTGAACCCAGGGCCTTCACAATGAGCTATGTCCCCAGCTCTTGTTATTTCTTTTATTCTGAGACAGCGTCTCACTTAGTCGCTACATGGAACTGGCTGTGCAGGAACTCCCAATTCTCCATCCTCAGCCTCCCAGAGTGCTGGGACTACAAATGTGAAATCACCATACACTGCTCAAGGACTGGTTTCAAAAATACTAAATGTAAGAGTCAGAAGGTCTGGGCTCACACTCGGTTTCACACCCTTCTGTAGTCACATGATGCTGAGTAAGTCATTATACTTTTCTGGGACCCCCCACCCCCATAAAAATGTAAAATACTCTGCTAGGCAACACAGAGACCTAGATCTACTGTCAGTTAACAAAACTGACTGCCTTAGACAAGTCAACTGCCTACCGAGTCACAGTTTACATCTGATACATGGTTGGGATTTGGATTTATGATCCACGAAGGAGATAACCCATGAAGCAGAGGGGCAGCACTTACAACAAAAATATGATTCAGATTGGTGTTCAGGGAAAATAAAGTGCTTTTTTTTTCAAGCCAGAAAGAAAAGAAAATTCTAGCAGTCAAGAACTTTGCACGGGGGCTGGGGATTTAGCTCAGCAGCACAGTGCCTACCTGTCAAGAGCAAGGTCATGAGTTCGATATCCCGTACCAGAAAAACAACAACAACAAAGAAAAAAACACAAAGAACTTTGCATGTTAGGAGTTAAAGTGCAACACAAATATCTATAATAGAAACCAAATATTAGTGGAATTGTTATTAACACATTTCTGCTCACCTGAATCACCATGGTACACGCAAGACTGTCCCACTGGGTGGCTTGTAACATTGGTGGTACAAACAGATCTAATCACTTTAACTGGTCTTTTTACTAATAAAATGAAGAAAGTCTATAAATGGTCGGAATCTAGTTAGTTGCCTGAATTTGAATACTTACTGCCCAAACATAAATATTAATTAATACTATTCTTACCAATTAAAAATTATTACAATAATCAACAAGTTTATTTCATTCAATTAAAATAAATTTATTTATATTTGTAAAATTCTTTAAAACATTTTTTACATAAAGGCAGCTGATTGGTGCAGAGTGTACAAAATGCCATAACACACTTAGCTGTTTTTGCAGCCACAGTGGTACCCGTTTTCAGACAGTCTCACATGTATGACCAGTGGCTCATACAGCAAGATGACTGAATTCAAATGTGAGCCCCACGGCAATGAGACATACAAATTACAGCCCTGTCGTGGACATGTTAAAGGTATAAACTACTACAAGGTGTCACAGGAAGATGAACCCTAGTGGTACTAAACATTCTGGCGTTTTGCATGCAGAAGTTTACAAGTACATGAAGAAAATGGACATTCTGAGCTAAAAACACAGCAGCAACAAAGTGGTGATTGAGATGAAAGAAAACAAAATATTCAGAGAAAGAGCTCATCAGTGCACAGCCTGGAAATAGAACACAGCACACTTGGAGGCCTTGTTTGCTACAGACTGGACGCCACTATTAGGTCATGAGGAAACACTGACTACATTTAGATTTTAAAGAAGGTAAATCATCACTCTGTCAAAATACACGTCATCACAATATTTAGAATAAAGAATACTCAGAAACAGACAGAGGGAAGACCTACAAAGAACTTTAATTATCCAACGTATCACTGAGTCAGAAAACGAGAGAAAGGCACAAATAAATGATTAAAGCAACTGACAAGGCTTGGGGACATAATGAATTCTGACTGAGGGAGAGGCCTAAGAGACATGCTGAATTTGGGTGATCAAGAAAACAACTTGGTGAATGAATAAAGTCGGGAAGGAGTTCACAAGGAAAGCAGGCTAATTCTTCTGTTTGTTAACCATTTTCATAATTAGCCTTATTATGAAATCCATAAATAAAACATTTTCATTTGAGGAGCGTCCTCACAGGCTGGTGTGAAATTGTCTCCCCTTACATAATGATAGCTATTTCTAACAGTGAATATGGATAGACTTGTTTAGTGTGTGGTATGGATTTCTTTTCCTTAGCTTTTGCAACTTCAGCATTTACTAGACTCAGTAAGGATTTCAGTTTCCCTTGCTGAGGCCTCTGCTTAACCTGAAATCATTCCCGAAAAGAAGTCAGTCACCACTCCTGCCGATGCGCTCCACAACTTAGGCGGTGCTAAGAAAGTGCATGTTGTACAGCTGATCACGCACAGGGCTTCACTTCTACAAGCTGGTAAGAGCTGCAAGGTGTGGCTCTCTGATGTCTCTGGAGCAGTGTGTGGAGACGCCGAGACGAACACTGCCCTGCGAGCACCTACCTGGGCAATCTTGTGAATCTGTTCCACCACCGCGGCGAACAGAGCATGGACGCTTTCATCGATCAGACTCTGTATGTAATGCACCGCCTCTTCATCCGACAAGTCCAGACGAAATTTGTCCTGAACCTACAAGGTAACTGTCCATTAGTCTTTCTAATGAAGAAAAACAGGGACGATATTTTGAAGAGATAAAATGAAACTGACACAGATATTACAATGAGTTATTTCTATGTCAAACAAATAATATATAACTTAAAAAAAGGAATTTTAAAAGCCACTTTTTGAGACAAAGTTACTGCTTTTAAAAACAGAAAATTCTTTCAACCCAAAGATAATGCTTTAAATTTTAAAGAGTTCAGATCTAGAAATAGTATGTGATTCAAACTGTGACACATTTACTAATAATCCCCTTAACTTTATCTGTGTTATTTACTCTGAAATGGATGTAACAAGATGAGATTATGGTAACATTCTCCCCACCTTCTCCACCGCAGTTCATAGGAACCATGTCAATCACCGGCAAAATAAACTGAACTAGATCTTCTTAGACATCTCCCTCACTCTAACAGTGCCCTATACCCCTGCAAAAGCTCAATGGGTCTAGTTCCCAAAGATAGGGGAGTGTTTCTTTTAGTTCACATTTATGGTGGATTTCCATTAAGCATTAAAATAGTGTGTATATGTATCTGCGTATATTTGAATGGTGCCCTAAGAAAATAAAAACTAATGTTACTGAATGACTACTGTATAGCTGAAAGCACTATACATGAAAATTCAACTCCTAGAAGGCTCAGAAGTAGGTAACGTTTCCATCTAGAAGATGCAGAAACAGAGGCAGAGAATTTATGAAAGCATTCAAAGGATACTTCACTGGTGGTAAGGGGCACTTTCATGACACTATGCATAACCACTATATTTTACTCCTTTTTCCTTTTATAAGTGATCTACATGTTTCTGAAAGGTAGATTAAGAATTTGCATGGGGACAGCTAAGATAATTGTACTACTAATTTCTATTAGTTTACTGAAAGGAACAGTTAGTGCTTATATTGTTTGATCAATTTTGTATGCCTGTACGTGGTAATCTGAGCAACTACTTTGAAGATAATGATATGCAATATAATGACCATTGTTAATTTCCTATCATCTTGTTTTGAAATTCTTTATTGTTTTTTATTGTGCTTTTTTGGCTTTCTTTGTCTCTTTAAAAAAAAGAATTTACATAGGGATAAAACATGATCTACATTTAGCATTTCAAGTTTAGGATTTAACTACTAGAAAGCTAGGAAAAAGGATGCAGAGTCTAGAGATCTATAGCCCAGCTCCGTGCAATAAATTTTATATATATATATATATATATATCATGTGATCTCACAGTTCAACAGACAATGGATAAGAGAAGTTGAGAGGAAAGAAGAAAAGGGCAGTTTTTCAGTGAAGCTATAGCTAAGGGCTATCATCAACCACTTCCTCTCTTATTTCTGTATCTGAGATAATGGCAACCATGTTCCTTGAGTTTAATCCTTTATTTCCCTTGATTTTTGCAAACAAATAGCATGTCTGAGAGTTTTGAAAATATTTTTAAGGATATAAAAAAATTACAGAGCCTAAGAATCAAAACAAGCCAGGCATGCGGGGGGCATGCCTATAACGCCAGCACACAGGAGGTTGAGGCAAGAAGATCACTACAAATTTTAGCCAGCCTGTGCTACGCAGTGAGTGAGTTCATGGGCACCCTGAACTATACAGCAAAACCCTGTCTCAAAACAACAACAACAATAAAAAAGAACAAAACAGAACTTTAACCTGACTTACCAAATCTTTACACACTTGTATAAGTGCCTGAATTAAAGACAGAAAATATGTACTTGATAATAAAAATGAAAATATTTTATTTAAAGAGGTTTAATCACATATAAATAACTATTTATTATGACATTTATTGACTTGGTTACCACCTGTTATTATCCACAGGGCTCTTTGTTTTTGTGTTTTTGTTTTTGCTTTTTTTTCCTACCGGGAATCGAACTCACGACCTCGCGCTTGCCAGGCAGGCGCTGTGCCACTGAGCTAAATCCGCAGCCCCTATCACAGTGCTCTTAAGGTATGGATTACTTCAATCTAAACTCTCTTTTCCCTTTAGATTTATATAGTTTCTATTTACTTGTCTTTAGGTCTATTGATACCTTCTAGTGGCACACCCAATCTGCTATTCAATTAATATTTAATTTTAGCTACTACACTGTCAGCTCTAGGATTTTCAATTTATTCTTTTTTCTTCCCAATTTTGCAGTGGTGAGAACGCCATATGTTGTTACCATACATTTATTTTCATTTATTTTCCTTTAAGCCCGTGAACATACTTATAATAGGTGCTTTAAAATACTATTCTGGTACGTCGTTGTGACATCTGGGTCACCTCAGGGTGTTTTTCCACTGACTGCTTTTTTTACCCATTGACTTGGTGTCACATTAGTCTGTTTCCTCACAAATCTAGTGATTCTTTGTTATATGCCAGACACTTTGAATTGTACTTTATAGACACCGTAAATTCATTCTAGTTGGCAATTAAAATCACTGAAATCAAACAATGAATGGTGCTGAATATTCTGCTCTGTTTAAGTTTCTGGCTGCGACTCCATCAGATGAGAACTTGACTTTTGTACACCTTCATGTTCAGTGAGATTTGTGAAAATTTAATACAGAGACTGGGGAAAGTGATTGGCTCACTTTCTCCACGGCTTTCATTTTTTTGTTCAAAATTTCTTAACTTCCTCACTATCAAATATCTCTTAGATGGAAAAGCAAACACTTCTATCGTTTAAGTGAAATAATTTTAAAGCAGTTGTAAATAATAACATTCTCTGCTCACTACCTTTTAGGCAAACAATAACGAATCATCGAGTATTGAAATCCCATTTTCAGATGCTATTTTTATACTTAACATCATTTAATTACAGAGAATAGCTTTTCAGTTTACCCTGGCACCACACATCCAAAAGAAGGTTTAATAAAAATATATCCTTGGTGGCATGACTTTTAAAGGAAACCACTGTGCCAGTTTTTCAGTAGAATTTCACAGTAGAGACATCTACTATAACCAAAGGACAGTTATAATGGCTATTTATGAACAATTAGAGAACACTGCTCAAGATTACTAGTTCTTTCTGTATCAGTGAATGATGAGTTGCTGAAATCTAACTGAAAGGTGCTGTTTTTCACCAGGCAAGAATCAATCCTCTGATATTTCTACTTTCAAAGAAGAGATCTGCCTTATCAAAATTTCTTCCAATTAACTTCACAGACCTCAATTTGGATACACTTTACAAATTGGAAATCCAATACCTTATTTTTCTTTCAAATGTGTAAATATTTAATGATTATCAAATAAAACAGAAATAAGTCAGTGTTGTCTAATTTGAAGGTTAATTTACCACCATAATCTATTCTTGAGAATTTAATACAATGTTCTGAAAGACAACTACCATTAAAAGACAAGACCCTTGGCTATCAATTCTGTTCTCTTGACAAACCTTTAGTGACTGATACTGTTCTTTTTAGATTTCACATTTTGGAAGTTGAGATAATTCCACAACTCAAGGAGTCAAAAACAGAAATTATCTAAATTTACAGAAGGATAACATACCTCAGACCAAACTCTGGGAGAGGTTAGGGTAGCTAATAGCTAAGCAAAGATCTGTTCTCATTTGCTTTGTCCACCCAAGGGGCTGCGATGCAGCAAATGAAGCGTTTTTTCATTTTTTTTTTTTAGGAGCAATTTACTGAACAAGAATTTGAGTAAAATAAAACTCATATAAGTTTTCGATATACATATATACTCTTAACATTCCGATTTGCATGTCATATTAAATTTTGTCTTTCATAGCATTTCAAACCCATATCCATAGGTGTGTAGACTGTTCCCCAAACAAAACCCTGTAACACATTTTTACATAATATACTGTCTCATAAGAAACACTGATTTCATTTATATGTAATCTTTACCCTTTGAGAATTTAAACTACATATAAAAGACTAATATAACATTCATTAACACAGAAGACCTGTTTAAAATAATTTAGTTTAGCATCTTCGAAACAGCAGCTTTTCTTAAAATAAGTTTCTTATTCAAAAATTAGAATTAGAAAAAATACTTTTCCTGTATTCATCACAAAAGTAATTGTAACAAAGGAACAAATCTCATTCATCAAAGTTAAAGGAAAAGTTTTAAACTAAACATGTTCATTTATTACTTCAGTTGCATTAAAATAAAACAACCTTTTATCTGAATAAAAATTAGAATTTAAAATAGTGATTAAAAAACTGAACCCATATCTAACTATAGCTAAAAGCATGAACACTGAAAACTGAAAGAAGACACATGATCACATTAAGGAGGAAAAAAAAAGCAAACACTGCTAAAATTCTACGAGAGTAGACAGGTTTACATGTTTATGGATCTTACAGGCAACAAAGGTAATTCGTAGGTTACTTAAAATAGGTCTTTAGCTAACTTTTAGGTGCCAGTGATATAACTTCATTGTTTTAAAGTATAGTAAGAAATCAGGGGCTGGGGATTTAGCTCACCGGCAAAGCGCCTGCCTGGCAAGCGCAAGGTCGTGAGTTCAGTTCC